ACTTTCTGAACTAATAAATAAACAAAAAGTATTTATGAAACAAATTATGTAGTATTCATTTTTTTCAGCGTACACATTCATAGTAGTAAATAGTATTTATTGTTAAAATAACCTTTATATTATTTATTGTTATTATCCGTACCTATATCTTCCAATGTTAATTCTATCCCACACACTATCAGGTTTATACAAAGAAAAACTGAATATTTTCAGTTAATAGGTATAAACGGATTTATTATGTAAATAAATAATGTTACTGTTGCATCTCTAGGTGGGGTCAATAATATTAAAGTCTGGCACTTAATTAGGGATGCTTTACACGGCATGAAAGAGTTTTAATGCCAGATAAAGAATATTTAATTTTTTTACAATAACAACAAAGTTTGCTAATACAGTTATAATAATTTATTAATGTCTTATAAAATTATCTTAAATGTATTATATAAATATGAATCGTACCAGGAATAGTAGGTATGTTCTTTATGGAAATGGATATTTTTAAAATATTTGAATAACAGCAATAAATATGACTATTTTATTTAGATAATTCAATATTTTCGTATATTAGGTATAAGATAATCTAGACTTGATTAGTAATAAATAATAGATAGATACTTATTAATCATGATTAATTATAAATAAGTTTTACACTTTCATGATTTTATTGTTATAATTTTGGATTTAAATGTTTTAGATAAATTTTGTGAAATCAAATAATTTAATTTTCTTATACCTAATAAATATGGTTTTTCAGATTAATTCAGTAAAGGAATTATTGTGGTAAATTTTTCTGAATAACAAATACCTATTACAATAAAAAAATATTCTATAAATTTTTATAAGAATTCAAGAACCCGTAGAAATAAAACATTTTTTGTGATCAACCAATTTATAGATTTTAGGCTACTGATATTAATGATAAAGAATTACTTAAATAGATTATCAATACCTATTTTTAATTTGGTAAAATCGAAAGATCATAGGTACGTTGAAATTGCAATCAAAAGATGAGTTTGAGATATCTGAAATGCCTTTAATATAAATCATTAACATTGACATTTATTAAATAATATGTAAGATATGTATTATTTATTAGGTAAACTAAGAACATGCTATATTTTAAAATTTCTTCTACACCGTTTTTAAATTTATGCTTTGCGTGTAAAAAAGTGAATATTTCTAAAAATAAATAATTCTAATATTTCAATGTTTTGACATTAAGTGTAAACAAAGTCATGTTTGTTTATAGTTTGTTACATATAAGTAATTGAAATTCTAATAGTAGGTAATAAATAAATAATAAATAAATAAATTTTTTTGGTTAGGTTTAAATTTAAAGATATCTTTGCGACTTTTGACAACTTGATTGTCAAAATTTTACTTATTTCTTTCAAGAATCAATCTTATTTGGAAGGAAAAAAATTACTTAATTCGAAGGGATTTAATTTTGTTCTCTATTGTTAATTTTGAGTTCGTCATGTCATTTATACCTAAGACAATTGAAATTATTAAATAAATATTTAATACATCTCCATATCAATTATTATTTTATTATTTTGGACTTTGGTCGGGATTTTGACAGAATTTTTTTATATTTTCAGTATTTATTAGAATTCATGTACCTAAAAGAACTCTTGACAACTTTGACAACATAATTAGGATACGATAGTTCTGCATTTTGTATCCCACGTTTCGATTACTTTTAACCTTCATCAGCAATATTGTGAGTATAAAAATGTTTGTATCGGTTTTATTGATTTGTAGGAACTTCTACAAGATCTCAGTTGGAGAATCAACAATTAAAATTTCATATATTTTTTTTTTTTTTTAGATATGTAAATATAACAATATTTAGTTATTTTATTCAAAATAGTTTTAAATAACCCTAATGAGGTGTAGACGTAATAAATATTTATTTTTGGGGTATTTTCATGATTTTTAAATTACCTCACTACTTAAGAACCTCATGCACCTCATTTTTTAAATATTTAGATTCTTATAAAAATTTTTGGTTGTCACATTATCACTATGTATTTACCCCATTTAGAGGGCAAAAAATCCAAAATGCCTACCTGTTGCCAAAATTGCGCTAATAAATAAATCCTTTCTTTTTTGAACAACCAATCCATAGATTGCATCGTCTGCAAGTCCATATCTCCCCCGGGGGGTGGTAAATTAGCCGCCGCGGTGGGCTGCATATGTTCCAACTCCGCCAGCTTTGCAATCGAAAGTCACTGCACAGGAAAATAAAAACAGTTTCACTATGTATTTAAAAATCGCAAAAACATGTTGCGTTCGCAGTCGTCGTTTCACTCACCCCCAACACTGTCATAATTAATATTGTTTAATTGTATGATAATTACGCACTGTAAATCACTGAATGAACGCGGAAGCACTTTTATCGGAATTAAATGTCACACGGGTATATTTTCGTGTTTATACGCCAGCGGCAACACGTGCTAACGTCGGGATAACTACCCCAAGACTGACGGCGATGTTGGATCTTGCATAGTGCATTCCGAGCGGTCTCCTTCCTTCTCTCTTGCGCGTCTTGTGTTCCGTTTTCGCTCCGCCCCTAGTGTTGGAAGGTGGCGCCCACTGGCGCCCGTTTTGGAACTAGCACAATCGTTCTGTCCTCGTTATGCGCTATGATCACGATGCGTTTGTTCTTTTCCAACGCTGGTATCCGTCGTGGCCAATACAAGCGCTGTAAACTAAAGGCTGATATTTTCTTTTTACGAAAATCGAAAGATATCTATAGTGCGCATTCACTACCCCCTTCCTTCACGTATATTATAATTTTTTTTTGTGATGGATGAGAGTTAAGGGGTGATTTTGGGGCGCATGTGCTGGGTTGTAGTATATTGTGTGTTTTTGGCGAGGATTCGTGTGTGTATGGGTATTTTTTGAGGTTGCTTGTTAATTTTTTTTATATGGTGGTGTTTAGGTTTTCCTTTTGTGAAAGGTAAACGGTCGCTTGGATTTACATCTTGTCAATTCTTCTTGTCTTTCTGTGTTTGTGTCTTCTCGTTTGATGTTTCGGTTATTGATGAATTATTTTGAAATGTATAATAACTCAGTTATTTTTTGACGTTCGTTTTTACATTTTTGTAATATTTTTTATAAGGTAAGTAGGTAAGGTACCAACGTGGGTAGCAAGATATTTTTGTAAATTGTAACGTCCGACGTGCTTCAAGGATCGCATACCTACCTATGAACCCTTTGCTTAAGGTAATTTGTTGATTTACAAATTGTTAAGACCTACATAGGTATCCATTTTTATGTTGACGTAATATTTAATTTTATTTCTCTCATTACTTTAACATTATGATTATTATTCAATATTTTAATTTAAATGTTTTAAATAGATATTTATAGGTACCTACAAAAATATACCAATGATTTAAAATACGATTGTAAACTTTTTAGACAAACAAATTTGATGTTAATTATTGTACCTAATTATTGGATATTTGATACCTACCTCTACCTATGTATTAATCTTTTTCGTATCAATACATATACATATTGACCAAAAAAATTACAAATTACTATTAATTTCTGGTCTGTTTCTAAATCTGACAAAATATTCAAAAATAAATTTATTTGATTGATTAAAAATTGTTGGTGAATACCTACCGTGTAAGTGTAACTAATTTGACGTATTATATTAACATATCGATTCCTATACACAAGTAACATAAAGACAAACAATTATAAATGATTTCCGAAGTATTTTTTTACACTCTAATTGTACTGTACTTTATAAAACATGTACCTAGATTTAGCATATATTTTATGAAATTGGGTTACAACTTAACAAAATAAACATATAAAATTGGTTGAATCCAATTTGAGTAGATATTAACAAATTTTTGATAATTACCTAAGAATAACTTTACATAAAACTTATTGCAGTTGACAATGATACAAGTAGATTTGGAAATATGTAATTTAGTCACCTTATTATTAGCAGTTGTATAAGCGTATTTATTAATCGGTAAGTAGGAGTAGTAATAGTATGATTTGAACTTTGTCAACCCTTCCAGTATTTTATGTAAGTACAATATTTGAAAATTGTTTTTATTTATACTATCATTTTATAGCATTTAGGTACATAGGTTCATAGGTAGGTATATTTATTTTTCGTCTAGTGATGGAGTTATATGTCGTTTTCAGTTTCTTTTTATTTTCAGACTAGTCTGGATACCTATTTGATACATTTTACTCTGTTATTATTAATTAATATCATTTTAATATTAATTATTAGTTTTTAGAAGTTATGTGCAGTGCTATGATAGTTTTATCATTTTGAAGCAGCGTTGTCAAGTTGTATTACAGGAAAAATATTGGAAATAGAGAAATTTATAATCAGTCCATTATATTTATTTTAAAATCCTTTTGGTATTTTAATGACAAAATAAAATATTTTCTGTAAATAATTTAGCTATAGAAAAAAAATTAAAATTAATTTTCAAAGTGCAAATTACTCTTAGTTACAGCAAATAGAAATTTGTATAATAAAATGAGACAAGTAAAATGTTTACCTACTTATGGTTGATTTCTGAAATTACTTAACTGTGATTAGTGAACAATTTAATTCGTTTTTAGGTAACCTCCCACTAAGCAAAATACATTCGCTGCAAATGTATTGCAATCTTACAAATATATATGTAAGTTTCCTTGCAAGTTTGTTAAATATTTATTGATATCTTTTGGCAAGTTTGAATCTGCCTCACTCTAAACTTGAAATAATAAACTTAATATGTCATACTTTATGGAAACGTACTAAATTAACTTGTTAACGTACAATAAAAAAAGTATTATTACTTCGTTTGTTGGATATTAAAATAGAACAGAAATCTTGATTCATAAATTATAAATGTTGATTTACATTTTATTTTTTTCTTTATTTTAATGTTGAAATAAAGTCTGTTAAAACTCTATCAGTCCTCCAATAATTTAAAGACATTAAACATCTAACAGATTCATCAATTAGTCTATTCTAATGCCGATGTAGCAGATAACGCTAATAAATTTCTAGCCATGTTAGATAATATTGGAAATATAGTCTCGTGACTCTTCCACCAATTCAATACATTTTCTGAACTATTAGCGACTTCAAATAAATATTTTGTAATTTCATATTTCCAGGAATTATCATCGACTGGGTCTTTGTTTTTACTACAAGATATTTGAAAGGAAGCTAGTACATCCATTTCAAAATTTTCGAAATCTTTACATTGGCTTTGGAGGGCTGATTTTGTTAATAATTCGTTTTGATTGCCCTTGACCTTTTCGCTAAAAATATCGTAATATTGTGTTTTGCAAATATTTTTAAACTTTAACATAGCTTCTTCCTACAAATCTTTGCTCCATGAACTTGAAGAAAAAGTTTCTAGTTTATGACGTGGAGCTAATATTAACACAACACAATACATCTAATTGGTGCGCTTATAATGTTAGACAATTTTGTCGCGTGACGATTATGGAGCAGAAATGAATTTCATTCCTATGTTCTTTAACATCTAAATATAAGGCCCATTGTTCCAGTTTGACCAACAACATATTTATTCCTATAACGATCATTGGAAGAGTACCATACTGATCGCCTTCTAACAGTGTAGATAATGTTTTGAATGGTTTTAAATAACTGCAAGTTTTTTGAATTATTTCCTATTCTGTATTGGACATTCGTAAGGACAAAAGACTTTCAATATTGTCACAAAGAACAATAAAAGCTCTCTTTAGATTATTTGCCCAAGAGGTGGAATTTCATCGGGTTTTTACTTCAAACCTGGGCAGTAACATTTGAAGGTTAATGATTCACAAAATTTTTGAAAGTCAAACCTTTAGTTTCTCGGAATTTTTTATTTTAATACAAAGTGTTTTTATCTTTCCAACTGACGAGCTGGAATCATCATATAAGATTTAAGTTCACTTTCGTTATCACTGATTTCTTCTGAAGAATTACTATTGTCCAAAGAGCCGGAGCCAGAATTTAATACCTGTAGTATTAAGTTTCGAGCTGCCAAATCGATAATATGTGCAAAACATACAAAATGTTTATTTTTATTATCAACTGATCAACTGATCAATTAGTTCTGATAACTCATTAAAAAATGTAAAAATGCTGTTTGTGTTATCAGTAGTTATTCCTTGGATGGAATCAGTAATCTCAAATTGATTTACAACTTCGAAGAATAAAGATGTCCTTTAGCTTAAACAAAATCTAATAGAATTGTATGTAACTCCCAATTCTTATCGATGAAGTGAGCAACAACTCCATAATACCCTTTCATAGCGTACGAAGACCATCCATCAATAGCAAAGGATACTTTGGTGTCACAACTTTTAAAAAATAAAACTCCATTTCTTAGTTCATCAAATTTGTTTATTATACGGGACCTTAATAAGTTTCTTCCGGGGACTATGAGTTTGGGATTCATGTAATTATATAATTATCTTGAAATTTCGTCGTCGAAAAAGTTGAATGGTAAATATTTTTTAACAGTACACTTCCACCAATAATACCAAGAAATACTTTTTGTGAAACCTAAAACAGTTTTCATTCGTTAGAATAGATTTTTGTATAACTAGTGAAAAAAGTGTACCTTTGTTGCATGATGCATGAGTTTGCCGTTCGAAACAAAATCGAGCAGTCATTCAAAGTGCAACAAAGATACGCTCTTTATACATGGTGCAAAAAGTTAAACTATAAGCACAGTAAAAACACTTTTTGTACGATCGTATAAAAAAATATTTTTTCCTTTATAAATAAATTTAAAGTAAATTAAATATTTTGTTTAATGTTTATTATAGTCTCTTTCAAGAAGTACATAGAGTAATGGAATGGGATAGAAAAACAGCACAGATATCGGCAAAAAAACAATAATCTCAACTATTATAGCGACTAAAAACCACACACTTTAAGGAGAAGTACCATATGTGCTAACACACTAATTTTTTTTTAATGCAGACAAAGAATAAGTTGAACTACACTTGGGATGAAATACTTTTTGGAAAAAATTCCTCATTAGACCGAAAAAAAAATATATATAAAGGTTGTTAAATTTTATACAAAAAAGGACAACTTTTAATAGGGAATTACTATTATTAAATAAAAATTATCCTGTAAACGATTGCTATTAAGTTGTAGAAAATCTTTTTCCAAATCAGATAACCAAAAAAAATTTAATCGAGCTTAAAATAAGGACATATTTCTTCTTCTTAACCGTAATAAATTGACAAAATGAGGATTTTTTTCAAAAAATTGTACTAACCCAAGGTTGGTTCAACTTATTCTTTGTGTACATGAAAAAAATGATTTCAGTATCTTGAAAATTGAGTCTTCTAGGACTTAAACCGAAAACCTTGCATTTCAGCGGAGTAATGACTCTTAAATTTAGATAAGGATAGCCTTAAGAGTGGTACATTATATAAGGAATTCAGCAATATCAATATTTTATTGGTTATAAAAACAGTCCGCTTCCCACGAATAAAAATAATAAGCCCGGTGCTGGTACCTGTTCCTAATATTAATATCCTTCCAAACGCTATAATAGTACGAAACACGATTTATTATTATTATTTTATTCTCGACCAACGACACTGGTGCGACAAATCGATCTCTTGCGTTGGCTAGGCGCAAATCTCAAATTCGATGACGTAATCTAGTACATAGTGCTCTTGAGCCTTAACCTTTTTAATTATCTTTCTTAAGCAATTTGTCATAATTTTAATTAAAAAGTTACCTATCCAAAATGTTATTAATGTAGGTAATACTTGTAACTTGTAATAGCCACTAAAAGCCCCGTCATAAGGAATCTATATTTTTTTTGTGAATTGATAGTTAAAAATTATGCAAACGAAAATAATCTTGGTGTGCCTAGATTTCAAATGACAAAATTGAGTTTTTAAAGGGGTATATGATTTCGGTCAGTAGTAGGTAACCTGTCCTATCAAAATTAAATAAATAAGTGAGGTAGATATACATAAATTGTAGTAAGTTTTACCCATTAAAGTAAATTATTGCTATTTATTACTTTGGTATTTTCATAATTGTTACAAGGCGTGATGGTTTTATAAGCTCTTAAAATAACTAGATACTGCATGTTATTGTTCAATAAAGTAGTTATTTTTGCTCTTTGTTAGATCGAATTTCATATAAACATCTTAAATGATAACTTTATTTAAAAAGCGAATAAAATCATCACCTACTAAGTATGGTACTTTTGGAAAAAGGAATTAATTAATGGACTTTTAAATTGAGAAAAATAGATAATCTATTCTATCCCAGAAAATATGAAATAATATATTCGGTTAGATTAAAAATAAATAAGAAAAAGAGGAATTACTCAGAAAATAAATATCAAATTTAGAAGAAAAGTGACGAAAACTGTATTATCTCAACTGGTTCGAAAGCTACATAGGTTTAAAAAGTGTTATACTATAACTTGACAATCATCAAAAATATAATATAATTAAAGTAGGTACCTATAGATTTTTTCATTAATAACTTATGTACAAATTAAACACCTTGTATAACAGAAAAACAACATAAATGTATGAATGAAAGTTATAAAATTTATCAATTTGATAAAAGCGCAAGAAACCTAAATTGATATACTTTTTAAAAGTGCATGAATTGTTTACTAAAAATATTCACCTCTAATATAAAAAACAGAACAAAAAAACAAAAAAAAAATAATAAAGAGGAAAACTTACTATAACAATTAAAATATTTTGTTTTAGTCATTTGTCCTTTATTCTTGAAAGCGAAACTTAGCCTGATGAAACCAAATCATAAATGATTAAAAAAAATCACCAATCATTTCAGAATATAAACGGGGAACAGCCTCTAATAAAAGATATGACTATATGTTTCTTTGAGCCAAACATTTTTTCAATAAATTAAGTATGTATTTTATATGTACCAGCCCAGTCTAAAGGTCTCCATTGGCCTTAATTAGTTTTCAAATTTTCAAACCTGTGTATGAAGTTTTGAAATACATTTTCGGATAATTTGATCTTGATAATTTACAAAAATAGATAAGTACCCACCTTTACTCATAGTCTAAAAATATAAATGTTCGTTCAAGAACATACTAAAAACTCCCGAATATAAACTAAATTTTCAGAATTTTCGGTTCATCCTACCTACTTTAGTATCAATTTTCTTAAAATCCGCCTATGGATTTCCTATATGACTAATTTTAGGAATTCCAATTATTTCTAACGTCTAACATCCCTAACATTCTTTACATTCCATACTTTGTAAACATTATCCAAAGACATGGACAGACAACAGCTGTTGATTGTAAAGATGAGATTTCTAAGGCGGTTTGCGACCTTCATAATTGCAAACAGCCATTTTGGAGGCTATTTTTATTCGAAATTATTCGCCAAGCCTGCCAATTTATAAAAATATATATGCAGTTTCTTAAAAATGACTTTTTTATGGTGGTGCTAACTTAAACTTACTACTATTTCGCCCCTACCCACAGAAACACCTTCACCAAATTTACTGGCTCTCTGTTGCAACCCGATAGAATAATTAACGAGCCATTTTATTTGGCAAAAATCAAAATAATGCTTGGCTGTGCCTATCAAGTATCAAGATGTCAACTGTGATGTGTGAATGGCTCTTAAATGTCAAATTATTTAAAAATGTTTGTATGCTTCGTTTGATATTTATTGCAAATAATTTGTAGTGTAGCTCAATTCAGGCTTTCCATAAATAAAGGTACATCAAGACAGATAGTATAATGTTCTTATACGTAGCACTCTTTTATTATACTCTTTTATATAATGCTGGTTTTTTGTAGATAATTTTAATTATATGATTTTGGATTACATTAAGGAGTTGAAGTGCAACATCATATAGTCCACATTATACCATATCGCAAAATAGATTCAACCAGCGAATTGTAAATAATAATTAGTAAACTCCTGGTCATAAATTTCCTCAATTCATAAAATATAAAAATGAATATTCTAACTTTGGTTGTTAATGACGTAATGTGATCAACCCATTTCAAATTTTGATCCATATTTCATTTTAATTATAAAGTTATCATTTATTTGTATGTTGAAAGAAGGCCTTCGTAAATTATATTGATCTCTATGGATCTACTTTAACACAAAAATAGTTTTGCAGCTATAAGTTGCTATAACTTATAGTCACAAAACTATTAATAATTTAAACATGGTAAGTAGTATTAATATAACATCAAGTAATTTTTTAAAATGAAGTACAAGATCTCAAAACAGAAATAATTTATAATAAATACGGGTAAAACGAGGGGTAAAATAACAATAAATTAAGGGAAATACTTAAAAAGGGCAGGTT